GGGGGGGGGGGGGGGGGGGGGGGGGTCAGCTTAGTTTCCAGTCAACACGAGGGAGCTGTTCTCATTGAAAAAGCACTGACAGACCTGCTGTATGCTCCTACCCAGCACCAAACAGAGGGCAAATAAAGTTAGCTAGTAGTAGGTAAAGAATCAAATATCTAGTTGCTTCTCAGGAGTCGGTGGAGACCAAAACAGAGCTATAAAAAAAGAACTGCCCAGCACCAACTGACAAGCAGACAAAGCTAGCAACCAGCTGATGAACATAGTGGAGCATTTAGCAGCTAAAGAGGCTGATATCTCTATCTGCTAGAGACCAACGATAGAGCTACAAGATGAGTGAATATCGGACTTGGATTCATTGGGTTGACACAAATACGACTCCAAATAAATGCTGAAGTTACTCTGTGTTTGCTTGATGTTTAAATAGGCAACTGTTTGCTAGCAAGTTCACTATACCAGCTTTATAAGTGATAAAGTGTCAGAGTTGTGTTTACAGCTTACTCTACTGCCCCCAAGTGGCCAAAAAAGTTAATGCAGCTTTAAACTGTATCTGGGTTACACTTGTGTGACTTTTGAACAAATACTACCCTTAGATGTTACAAGTGTTTCTCATTTCATCACCTCCATCACTCTACCCCCTCTGTCCCTCCCTCTTTTCCTCCCTTGTTTTTTGTCTCCCCTTCCCTCGTCGATCCCCTCACCCTCTAATCCTTTACTCCTGCCATCCACCCAGGATACCACAATATAGATCTGGAGCTGCAAACCCCCTCAGACCTGAACTACGAGCCCCCCACCCCGCTGCGCTCAGACGACTTCTTTAGCGAGGGCGATGCTAGCGCAGAATCCCCTAGCAAGACCACGCTTACTAGACCTAGCGACCTCTCTCTCACTCAGACCACCAGTACCTCCAGCAGCGAGCCCATCACTGTCGCCCCAGGCCCCACATCCAATGCCATGCAGCCCCCCGTCGTCGGGGCCGAAGACACAGCTTTGACTGCCGGAGAAAGAGCAAAGGAAGAAAAGACAGGGCTGGTTTATTATGAGAGGCCGGATAATGACAGAAGGGCAGTATCAGGAAAGGGAACAGACGGGCATGCTGAGGCTGTAGAGAAGGAACTGAAGGCAGGGCAAGGCGTTGTTTTGGAGCATCAGGGAGAGACAGCTGCCTCAGATGCTGGTCATGGAAATGGAAAGCACGAAGAAGAAGAAGAGGAGGAGATGACCCCGGAGAGGCTGCAGAGTCTGCTGGAGGATATAAAGCAGGAGGGAGGCTTGGAGGATGAGGAGATGACAGAGGAGCGGATGAACGCTATCCTCGAACAACTGCAGCAAGCAGAAAAAGACATGTGTTCAGTTCCAGGCTGGAGAAGTGAGACGTCTGGCGCAAGCGTAGACTCGGCAGCCCCTGGCCAAAGCTCCGGCATCAAGGAGGGCAGGTAGGAACTGTTTATATTCTGCTTACATATTCACACACAGGGGTTCTCTGTCAGTCTAGTGGTTTTGTGATCACCATATTTAACTCCCACAGCCCCGACAGTCTGGTTGATTCGTTGGAGCAGCCCCCGTCTCAGAGTGACAAACAGAACAGAGCTCACATCGACACAGCCAGGGAAGAAAAGGAAAGTGAGGCCAAGAGGAAGGGATCTCAGGAGGAAAGCAGCACAGCAGGACCAAGCAGAGGTCAGGAGGAGGGAGGTGACAGGTCCCAGCACAAAGTCCAGGTGAGAGTCGCTCCTCCACACAGGGTGTCAACTGACAACTTTATATTCATTTAGTTGTTTATGTTTTCTTGAATTTATGCACACACACACTGTGGTGTCTGTGGGCCGTTGAGAAGTTGTCAAATGTGTTATATTGGGTTTAAAATGTTTACAGTTGGTCCAATATTTCATTTTAACCTCATGCTGACCATTTAAATGATCCCACAAAGTCATAAATTCAAAACACATGCACACACTGGGGTGATTAATGTTACACTGCTGCTGGGCTGCCTTCGTCAGGGGAGTGTTAGAGCTGACGAGTCCGGCTCCGATGGGGAGACCACTGTTACCACCAGGGTGTACCGCAGACGAGTCATACTCAAGGTTTGTAAGGCCTGGTGTGTGGACAGCTCGAGGCCGAGTGAACTTGCATAAAGCTTTGAGACAGAGCTCAAGTGTGTGAAGAAGAGCCCGTCATGGAGATAGAAAGATTGTGAACAGAAGTTATTTGCTGTGCTGGTGTGCATTTGACAGCCTGTGTGTGTTTTGTAGAGTGAAAGTAGGAGAGTGACGGTTTGTGTGCTGCTTTAGTGTTTGTAAGTAAGACAAAGTGATAGAGTGTATCTTGAAGTTGACTTCCACCCAACAGCTTTTTCTTTTGTATCAAGAACCCCAAATAACAGCCAGTATATTGTCAAAGGGACATGACAAAGGACAAGGATAAAAAAGGGACAAAAGTACAGATGAGCCGAAAGTCAGGCCCAATATTAACAAAGAGGGGGAAGGATGTCTATGTAAAAGGCAGGTTCAGAATAATGGGGTATTTTATCAGAGTACACACTGACAGAAAGCAGCGAGAACAAGAAACAAACACAGAAGGGCGGCGGCGGACTCCGGGGTTTTTTCGGACCTAATTGTATTGCGGAGTTTTGCACGGCAGCGACTGGATCTTTGCTCTCAAACCACAAAAAAATGTGATGGCACAACAGTCTCCTTCAGTACATTATTCTATGATTTCTTTTGATTTTCACATTGGCTAGTCATCCTGTTTAATTTGTCTTCTGATTAAATAGGAACCGTTGAAACAAGTTGTAGGAAGCCTCTGCAAGTAATTGGTTGCTGGCAGACACACTGTGCTGCAATAAAATGGTTAATCAGCAGTGCCGTGCACTGTAGAGCCGATGCGCTGCTGGTTCTGCCGGCCTGAATGGAATATAATGTCTATAGCCTTACTGTTGCGTGTACAGCCTTATAGACTGAGCTGAGTA